TTTTTTCTTATCTTTTTATAATTGGTTCGACTGGAACCGATTTCAAACCGAACCGAACCGTTTTCAAACCAAACCAAACCGTTTAAATCAATTCGATTCAGTTCTTCAAAAAATTCAATTCAATTCGACCGAACCGAACCGTTTTCAAACCGTTGAAACCAATTCGGTTCAGTTCATCAAAAAGTTCAATTTGACTTATATACACCCCTACCTTGGGAAACAAATAGGTTGGACTGACTTTTAGTATAAATAAGTCATATATATATATATATAGGTAAAATCATTTCTGCAGCCGCTTTACATACAACAACGACATGTGTATGGTTATAATTCCTCACATTTAATGCTTTCATCCTTTGTATGGTTATGATTCCCCGCATTTAATACTTTCAAGTATATATATGGCAAGTATTTGATTGCTGCACGTATAGCAGCTGCAGAAATGTAAACCCCATATATATATATATATATATATATATATATATATATATATATATATATATATATACATATAGAGAGAGAGAGAGGATATTCATACTATTACTTTTTTCTACTATCAATCTACTACCATTGTAATCACTATTGGATCAAATTTTTCAACAACTTTTTCCCTCGCTTCAGCCCATTTTTTGTTGAAAAATTTGATCCATTGGTGATTAGTGTGATAATGGATTGGTAGTAGAAAAAATAGTGGTATGAATATCTTATTTCTATAAAATATTTTGAGTTTGAGTTTGGCTGTTAATTTCACGGAGGCTAAATTATAGACCTCATTTGATTTCTTTTTAAACAGCCTTATAATAAATCAAATATGAATTATTTAAAAAAATAAGAATATAAGAATAAATAAACAACTCTTGTGAAAACAATTAATCTTTTTAAAATATTTTTTAACAAGAAGTTAAGAAAATTTGAATATCCAACCTAACACTTGCAATCATAAATCAACCATGAACACATTCATTGCCAATTGGATAAGTGATAACCTACAATTACACGTGATACTAATTGAGCGAATCCATAGATTACAGGGGTGTTTGGTACGCAGATAAATTTTAAATTCGTGAGAAACTGACCTTGGTAATTTTATTTACTCACATTTGGCATGTGAATTATGAAAATTTTCTTGGAAAAATTAAAATCTCTAGATTTATTTTTGTGAAGCAAAATTCCATTAAAGAATACTATTGGATATGTGGTATTTTGAGATTTCCACCTTGTGGCAATATTTTTCAAGATTTTTATGATAAAATTACCCCTATCTTTTCTATCGTTCCTGGTTCTTCTCTCTCCTTCTCCCCTCTGATTCTTTGCGCGCTTTATGGTTTAGTGCTGGCAAATTCTCATGCAATGTTGATGTCGAAAAAGGATCAGAGAGTTTGATCAACTTGATTATTCCGACAATGATGACGTTGATGTCATCGCGCTCGAGCAAGAAGCGAAGGACACAGTCCAAGCGTATTAAAGCTCTCTGTCTCAAATTTTAAGTATTGTTTAGTCTTCGTTCAATTCAAGCTCGGAGTCATTGAGTTTTTGCTTATCTTTGCAGCCTTCAGTAATAATCTTTCTCTGTTTGATGATTTCAGAAGATGAGAAAAATGATCGCTAGGAAACAACTCAATTAAACAACTCAACATGGAGTTCCAATGATCTCTGGAACTCCATACAATTTGAAAGAAACAAATCTTGCCATGAAGTAAAGCATAGAGGGAGACAATGGCTGAAGTTTGAAAGGCAGAACAAGGGATATGATGGTTTGGTGTAAATTCATAGAGGTTGTTTTTGTAAAATCACTCGTGCATATTTTCAGTAATATTTGACAATCAACCAAACATAAAATTAATAAGCTTCAGCTAATATTTCTGAGAATATCTTGACTTATCAAACAACTTTTTGATAATATTTTTAAAAAATTTATTTTCTCAACATAATCGTGATTTATAAGCACAAAAAAATTTCCCCTCTACTAAAATACCTATATAAGACTTTTAAAACACAATTACCATCTGCAATGTTTTACTACTTAGAGTATGTTAGTTAGGCCATTAATGTCAGCTATCTACGCCTCTAGAAAAGGGAGTGAGAGAGAATTTTTAAAGAAGTGAGAGACAAAAAAAGAAACATATTTTTCTAAAAATAGAAAAAGAACCACAGTAAGAAAATAAACTCGGATCATTTTAAAAAATCCCTATTTATTGGCATGAAATGCTATTTTCATATTATTATTATTCCTTTGTACATCATCGTCAACATTGTGAACAGCTTAGTCCCCCGGAGTATCTTCGGAAATCGGATCTTATAATTTGACCAAAAAAGAGAAGTGGCGTCAAGCCGCCAACGTCAGAATAGCAGTGGCAGGCATAGAGTTCAAATGCCCTACGCCTAATTAATCAAAAGAATAAAATAGTGATGAAGTGAGCTGAAAAAGGAAACTTAATTTGGATTTAAAATAAAAAAGGTTATATTTATCTCATTCAAGCTGAGATAATTCATCTTTCTAAATGACACATATACTAAAGATAGATTCCATCTTTAATTTTTCTCTTTTCAATCATTGTAAGTCCCTTTTATTAATTTATTTCACTAATATAAGATTATTTATCTGCATCAACATAGGAAAAAGATTTTCCTAAAATCAATGCAAATCGGGTAAAAAATCCATATTCATGGTAGTTAAACCTGATAATTAACTAATTTTAATATTATATGATATAATAAGTAATAATTTAATATAATAATTAAACAAAATTTTAAATTATTGATAAGAGATATAATAAGTAATAATATATATTTTAAATTTATATATATTTTTTCCTAATTATTTGAGCTTTTAAGAAAATTAGTTGTGGGACATTGTATTTGAGCTTATAATCAACTGATCTTGTATTAAAATAATAATAATAATCAACTGATCCAAATTCCAAAGTTTTATCTCAAAAAATAAATAAATTCCAAATTTCGATTCTTATACCTTCATTTATCTAAAATATTTGAATTTGAAAATAAAAAACAAAAAATAGGCACATGCATTATCTATGTTTCAAAGTGTAAAATTTTATTGCATGAGCAAACGTGTTAAGAAAAAATATAATAAAATCATACATATATCTTCGCCCAATGCTTTAAGTTTTTTTAAAGAGTTGGTCATGTGATGATTATCACAAAAATTTTAAATTTTATATCTTAACAATATAAAAATTTAATAATGAAATGCTAAATAAAAAATTCAATTTAATGAGTGCAACATGAATTAAAATAAAAAATAACTTTATGTAATTTAGTACTTCAAAGTTTGATAATAAATGATAAATGAAGGGTTAAATATTTCTCAATTAATCTAAAATGATATTGTTTTGAAGTGTATAAAATATCTTTATATCAAGGAACACTAAACCCATAAATGAAACATACAATATAAATAAAGCCTAGACGGAATCATACGTAATTACAAATCTCTCATAGGATAGTAATGAAATATTCAAGCATATAACTCATATAAAAGCTAAAAGGAGGATAAGTCACCTCGTACATTGTTTATACACAATAAAAGGATAAGTCACCTCGTGCATTATTTATACATTGTTTATACACAATAAAAGGAGGATAAGTCACCTCGTACATTATTTATACACAATAAAAGGACCTTAATAAAAGGATAGGTCTTATATATAAATTTTTGTAACTTGACAATTGACATTGGACCTTAATTTCACTCGTTATTTAAATATTAAAAATGTCCCGATCATGTTTTCGTTTCTACGTAAAGCTGTGGTAACTCTAAAAACTTGTGCTCTGCAAATTTAGGAGATGTGAAAAATAAAAACTAAAACGGTATAATTTTACATTATCAGGTTATGCAAAAAAAAATTTAACCATTAATAAAAAAACAATATCAATTTATATTAGATTATGTGTTCAATTTTTACTATTGTATATATATATATATATATAGAAAAACAACAGTAATAAAAAATGAAAGGAAAAAATATTAGCAATTATTTTAATGGTGATGTGAAATCACACATGAAAAATATATACTTTATTAATGTTTCAAATACTACATCTATTATTGAATCACAAAATATATTAACGTGTTTGGTGGGGGTGATTTATTGATTTAATTTCACTTGAATGAGTAAATAATTTAATACATATATTTTTAATTTTATACATTACATTAAATATTAAATTAATATACCAATAAAGTAATAGACTCATAATCAAGTTATATGGCAACATATTTAAATTTTTTAACAATAAATATAGTATTTATAAGTTCATAATATTAAAAATATATTTAAAAATAAATCAATACATGACATAGTATTTAAAATGATATCATTTGCCCACGAAAAAAAATGATATCATTTAATTTTATAAAAAATGATCTCAAAACAACATCACATAAGCTAATTATTTGATAAAAAAAATGTACTAAACCGAACCAGTTATTCATTAATTTGTATCGATTTTTTCTTCTAGATCCTCTCATGTGAAAATTTACACGACCATGTCATGTGAAAAATCATAACCATACAAAGATAGATTAATGATAATAAAGGAGGTGAGAGAAAAAATATTAAAATAAATAATTACGAAATCATAACTGTTAATTTATTTTTATATAATTATAATCTTCCCACGTGACCCGTATTATATATTTCTTGATTAATTACACCAATTCCTGATTAATGCTGTAGTAATCCAACCGTAAGAGTTGAATTGACTAAATACCAAACAGTTTCATTAATTTTATGGGAACAAGCCTCTCAGGTGAGTCAGGTCCTGTGTTTCGTCAATATAGTCAATGTCATAATGTGAAACCCAGGCCCATTACACGACCCTGTCGTGCGGACTTGGTGCTCGCTCTGGACGCCAAAGTACCTTCCAAGTTTGAAAGGTCTATTTAACTTTTTAGTCTTGTGTTGAACCGACGTATCATAATTTCATAACTCTCACTTCTGCCTTAATCATTCTTAACTTTTTCGAAGTTCACACAAACAAACAAACACTCTCTCTCTCTCTAGTCTCTATCTCTCTAAACCTGCACGCGGGTTCTCTTACGCGGTTTTTTCCTTGTTTGTCATAACTCCCATCCCTGTCATCATTCGATTTCTGTCTCTTCAAGGAACAAATCCCCTTTAAAATTCGGGATTTCCATTTCTTTATGTGTTTTTCCTTCTTGCTTCTGTTTCAAACCTTCAATTCATTTTCTTAACTTTCATTCTTCATTTCATTTTAGTATATATTTCGTCACAAGCTCCCATTTTCTTCACCTGGGCTTTTCATTTGTTTCCATTAGCTGGCCAAATTCTCAACCTTTCTAGATTCTGCTGTTCTCGTTTCCCTTCAGCTTTTCTCCAACTCTGCTTCTGTTCCTCAGGAAATTTCGTAACTTGATGATTAGAAAATGAAGTGTTTATTCTTCAAACAAAAATCCAAATCCGACCCAGAATTAAAAAACCCAAGCAAGAAGAAAAATCAGGCTTTGAATCGAGCAACTAAGTCCACCAGTTCGCTATCATCGCCAAGGAGTTTAAAAGAATTGTACAAAGAGAAAGAACACAATTTCAGAGTTTTTACTTTGCAAGAACTCGTGGATGCAACACATGGTTTCAATAGGATGCTGAAGATTGGAGAAGGGGGCTTTGGGAAGGTATATAGAGGAACAATTAGTTCTGAAGGTGGACAAGGTGATTCAATTGTGGTTGCAATAAAAAAACTTAACACGTTTGGCTACCAGGTATACATACCTGTTTCACTATCTTTTGTTCTCTTCATGCTCCCTTTTTTTTTTTTTTTTGCTTATGTTACTGTTTTGTGCATGATTTGTGGATTTGATAACTATTATTGTTGGGAATTCATATGAGAGGCACTCTAACCCACTTTGCTTTCGGAATTGATTATGAACTCAATGCCTTAAAAGGTTTTTGATTAAGATGTTTTAAAGCGTCAATTATGTTATGGTGTCTTTGAATTATGGCAATACTTGAATTTTACAAATAAACCTGCATTCTCATGTTTGTCTTTTTTGTCCACCTTGTAAAGGGGCATAAAGAATGGCTTGCAGAAGTTCAATTTCTCAGCATAGTTAATCACCCGAATTTGGTTAAGCTTTTGGGATACTGCTCTGTAGATGGGGAAAGACGAATCCAACGGCTGTTGGTGTATGAGTTCATGCCCAACAAGAGCCTAGAAGATCATCTTTTCAATCGTTCTTTACCTCACTTGCCTTGGAGAACAAGGTTGCAGATCATGCTCGGTGCTGCTCAAGGATTACATTATCTACATGAGGGATTGGAGGTTCAGGTACGTCTTACTTGCAAAGTATTTGACATTTGTTGACCATATCGATTAGCTTAGGTGACCATATTTTTTCTTTAATTTTAAATTGGGAAGGTGATCTACCGAGATTTCAAATCTTCAAATGTACTATTGGACACGAATTTCCATCCCAAGCTCTCAGATTTTGGTCTTGCTCGGGAGGGTCCAAAAGGTGATCAGACTCATGTATCTACTGCGGTAAGTTATTCTCAAGTGCTAATTTATATAACTTAATCAAATATCATATTGATTAAGAATGGACTAAGTGAGCATCATATAAGTGAATGATCCATATATCTAATGTCTTAAGGTTTTGGATTTGATTATGGTGTTTCGAGTCCACTTAATGTTGTTGCTCAAATAACCTATAGTTGGAACAAAATTTTGGTGCATTAGATGTACCTAACTAGGTACATTTTTTTTTCCAAAAGAAGGATTTTTTCGAATATGTTGAGTACATCTGATGCATCAAAAATATTTTCCTATGATTGGTGGTTTCTTCCCGGCACGAGCTCCTCTTATCCGCCCAACACTTACACTACTACGCAATTTATGCGTCATTCAAATTACAAATGCTAGTTTTGGCTATTTGGTATTCTTGAACTTATAAACATTCTAACAATGTGTTTACACCAATGACTTCCTTATCATGTTTTGTTATATCAGGTAGTTGGGACAGAGGGATATGCTGCCCCGGAGTATGTTAGAACAGGTCATCTCAAAGCTCAGAATGACATTTGGAGTTTTGGTGTGGTACTTTATGAGATCATCACAGGAAGGAGGGCATTGGAAAGGAACCTTCCGCCAGTGGAACAAAAGCTTTTAGAGTGGGTTACAATATACCCTGCTGAGAGTAGCGGATTCAGCACCATAATGGACCCGCGTCTCAAGAACCAATATTCTCTTAGCGCAGCTCGTAAAATAGCCAAGTTGGCAGATAGCTGCTTAAAGAAGAATCCTGAACAAAGGCCATCCATGAGTCAAATAGTAGAAAGCTTGAAGCAAGCATTGCATTATTCAGAAACCTCAAGCACTTCTAAGAATATGACTTCTGTATCCTCTCGATCTAAATTGGTTCGAAAAGGCAAATAGGGACAGTTCGGGAATCATAACAATTAGCGGTCAACCTAGGATGTCGAACAAGGGAATGATATATAGAAGCCTTTTTTTCCCCATAAAATTAATCAATATTAGAGAAAATGGGAGGGAGGGTCTATAGTGTGATTTGCTCATAATTTGTAAATCTATCCCCAAGGGAACCTTCAACCTTGTATCATGTAGTATGCTAGATAAGTATGAGGCAGCTTGAAGTCAAAATCTTTTAATTAAAAATGGAGAATGTTTTCATAATTGTGTCCACTTTGTAGAAAGCTACCTAACCATTGAAAAAGTCTATTCCTATTGAATATCACAGCATAATTTCTAACAAGCGGTGTAAATGGTGCTGCAGCTGAGTATCAATTTTCAGAGGTGTTTAATTCACTTCCCTTTTGACATTTTTTTTAGGGGCTATAACCGTAACATTTTATTATTATCAAAATAAAGCTTTAATAAATGATGTCTGTGTAGGTAAAATTGGATTTACGCGGGAGCGATTCAAGACTTAGTATATTAGTATCCTTACCGAATCATCATCGTCTCATTAACACACAAGGCATTCATCTTCAAGCACAAATTTATAAGCGACTTCCTTGTGTGTAGAATACCTTCTCGCACTGATCTCGTCTGCGTCACAGCACGAACAATCTCTGTGTAGTTGGTCGACGACAGACCTTCCAGACTATCTCTTAAGGGGGAAGAGAACAGTGTGTGAGCACTTTCTTACTTTCAGGGAGATGGATGACCTTACCTCATCCTGTGCTACCACAAAGTGAAGACTCTAGATAACTTGATGATTATGAGTGTAGAATATATACGGGTTCTGTTCTGTCTTGATAACAAAAATGTCTAGCCAAGGGCTAGTAAATCAATATAGGATCAAACACTCTCTCTAACTATGAATGAGATAGCACATCACTGTATACAACTGATAACAGCATTATGTGTGTGCATTGTGACAGCATAACAGTTAGAGAAAGATTATGTCAAACCTACATGTTTTGTCTCCTATTTATAGAGTTTAAAGTAAATACTCTTTTGGGTCCCTAATAAAAAATATGGTCTCCACTTTAGTCCCTTACAAAAAAAAAATAGTCTTGAGGTCCCTAAGAAATTCAAAATGGACCAATTTAGTTGGAATTGTGGTCCCTCAAAAATTTAAAAAAGACCCACATTAGTCCCTCAAAAGGACTAAAATTGGTCTACTTTGAATTTCATAGGGACCAGACGACTAATTTTTTTTTGTAAGGGACTAAAATGAGGACCGTGTTTTTTGTTAGGGATTCAAAAAGGTATTTACTCTAGAGTTTATATGTAGATATATGAATTCTGGGCCTTTAATAATCTATGGACCCTGATATGCTATTGTATTACTGTCATGTAGTTGTTCTTTATTGGACCTTTAGATAGACCTTATATAGATCCATAACAGATTCTAAGAAATTCTAGTTCTAAACTAAATGAACTTTAAATTTCTCGAGCTCTTCTTACACATTAGATCCAATTAAATTTTAGCGAAAGAGCAAAACTCAATAATCATACTAAAATTATGTTAATGCTTATCTTCCTTGGGGGTTGGTCGATGTTGATGTTGATGTCGATGGAATTAATTGTTCACCAATGTTATGATGTCAACCGCTGTCACCGATAGAAGACTTTGGACTAAACTGTCTTGAACGCATAATGGCATAGACTTGAATGCAACCATTGCCCGAGCTTCGTGAAACAATTCATTTTGGGTGTGCGATACTAGCTGGGATAGAATATTATCTCTATCTCTATTTATTTACTTTTTTTTTCAACATATCATAAGCTTAATCAACTTTTCTCTCCTTCCCTTATTAGTTGAGATTGTGATTTGACAACAAGTAGGTAACGTAAATATAATCTCTTGTTATATTTATAAAATGTAAAAACAAGCAAAATATATCAAATTTTTGGGTGAAGATTTAAACAAAATATACAATTTTTTATGACCAGTGGGGTGAGGCTGTCCCCTATGCTCTATTTAGTTCCACCCGTGTTTATGGCTTCGTTTTTCCTTCTCATAAGTATTTTTCGCATTACAAAGGTTCTTTATATGTTGACCTTAATCTCGTTTATCACTTTAGTCACTCCTTATGAATAGTTGTATGGGTTTCTATTTCTTAACACGTATACTTTTGAAGTGGATGTAATTTTTCTAAAACTAATTAATTACAACCCTAATCTCTAGTACAAGTCAGTCATTTTTATTAGAGTCACGTTATTTCCTTACTTTATACATTGTTTTTTTACATGACAAACTTTGAGTTATACCAGACTAACATAAGTCCATGGTAGTTGACTTGACTGGTTCAAATTTTTTGAATAAAGTTATGATGTCTCGTAGTACATAGTTTTGAATTTTGAATTGCCTGTTGCCTTGAAGTAAATATGGTTGTCAAAATGAGCCGAGCGGGACCGGTTTGACCAAAAAAGCTAATAAAATGTATAGGTCAAGCTTAAAAAAGTCTAATTATATTTTAGCTACTCAGCTCAGGTCCATATAGGATAGTTTTAGTGAGCGAGGTAAACCTATATATAAATAAAAAAATTAAAATGAGGTATAACTTTTTAGCAGTGTTTTAAAACTCGGACCGGTCATCGAACCGGTTGAGGTACTGGGTCACTGGTTCAACTGGGTTCAACCGGTTTTACTGTTCACATATTAAAAATATAAAAATATTACTTATATTAATAAAAATTCACATAAGAAAACTATCTATGAGTTTCAAAAAATAAATTGGTTTTCACTGATAGCAAATATTATAAACTTCTAAGCTTCTAGCTCTAGACCGTTGAGATGAGATCATGAGACCATCAGTGTTTATCACCACTTAACTTCATGAGATCATTATAAGATGCAACTAAATTACATAAACGAACTACATTAATCTAAAATACCTTATTATTTTTACCTTACTTTTAATCATATTCATCATAAAATATGGATATGATTTAATTCAAGAGTTCTTATCAACAAAAAAAATTATCAAAAAAAAAAACCGGTTTAACCCGAGTCAACCGAGTCGCCGGGTTGCCGGGTTTCGGCCGGGTCAACCGGTCCAATCCGGGCTGACTGCATAACCGGTCTAACTACCCGCTCGGACTGGGGAACCCACCGGGTCACCGAGTCCCGAGTTTTAAAACACTGCTTTTTAGTCATTTTAAAGTAAACACTTATATATTTTAAATAAAAATTCATTTTAAAATCTCTATATAAGTTAATTTAGTAAATCATTTAAAATTAGTAGTTTTAGACTTTAATTCTATGAATAACTTAAAAAATAAAAATAAAAATAAAAATACAAGTTTGCTTGAACAGTCCACAGTCTGTGTAAGAAGTGAGTCAGGTTAGGCCAACAATTTACTGGCTTGATCTAACTTTTTTTTTTTTGGTAATCAAGATCTAACTTAATTATATTGAATCATTGATCATCCGGTGATTGAAAGTTGAATTTTTTTTATTTTTTTTTGTGAGACTGGAATTCATTCAATTATGTACATAAAAAACTAAAGTTACTTTTAGTGAAACTTTTTTTTGTCTTTGCTTATTACAAATGCATGACATGGATTAGATTTTCAACGATCTCTTATCAGTAAATTATATATAAATTCTTTGTGAGTGTTTATAGAACTCAGGAACTTACCTGATCCGAAATTGGAGCAAGTGTTCCCTCACCTTAAAAACTATTCAAAAAGAAAGACCATGTAAAAGGTGGTCAAGTAAAACCCAACATGTTCCCCACTCCTATGTTCCTTAAGCTGACTCTTTTTTGATGAATTCTAACCAATATTGGAATATTCAATTCCGATTTGCGAAATATATACTTTGTCCTCTATATTTGCACTAAAATAATGCAAATGAGGAAATAACCAATATAAGGAAATATCAATATATTACTGCAAATAAGCTAAAACTAAACTCATTGAAACTGGAACTTAGCCCTATATGGTTTTAAAAAATTATTTTTGATCTTTATGCATAAATATTTTGATGAATTTGATTGATTAGCCCTCATGATCATATGAATTTTTTTAATTTGGGGAACAGTAAAATTTTAATTTGATTTTTTGTTGTGAAAAACTTATTTATATTTTTTGGTCATTTCTGAAAATTTCTCTTTAATTTTAAGCAATTGTCTCACGAGACTTGAGATCAATAATTAAACTTTTGGGCTATGGGTATCCAAAAGAACTAAAAAATTGAACTGAATTGTAAACTAAACTGAACTGTATTTTAAAAATAACTCATTTTTAATTATCAGTTATTGAATTGAACTGTTTTTTAAAAATAAGTTCTTGAATTGAATTGTTTTTTGAAAAATCAATTTATGAACAATTTTCAAAATAAGTTTACTAACCGAACTTGTTTAAAAAACTATGAATCGAATTAGTTTTTTTTCTTCTACTCTTATTTTTTTATTTATCATTTTTCTCTCTGTTTTTCTTCCTTATTTATTTTGTTCATCCTTTTATTTTTATTTTTATTACTTTATTTCTTTAATTTTTCTTTTCTTTTTTCTCTTATGCATTTTTCTCTCTTATTTTTATTGCTAATCTATAATTTGTGGTATTATTCATATTAATTTTTTCATTTTTTTCATGAAGATTCAGAATGGTTCAAAAGTCAATTTTAGGAATGTGAAAAAGAACCACAAAAGAAATTACACTTAAAAAATTAATTTTAAAAAACTAATTGTTGACCTGAACTGTTTTTAAAATTTGTTATCTAATTGAAAACCAATTCATGGACCAAATTAATTTTTTTCTTTTTCGCTCTCTATTTTTATTCTCTTATTTATTTATTTATTGCCTTATATTTTTTTCTTTTTTTTCTCTTATGTATTCTTATTTCTTATTTATTTTTTATTTTTAATCATTTATTGCCTTTTTTTTAATTTCAGTATGATATATATATATATATATATATATTTATTTAATTTTTTCCTTCAATATTTTTGCAATTTTTATTTGATTTCAGAATTGAATTTAAAAACCAATTCAAAATTGGTTATGAACTGAAGCGAAATGATTATGAAGTAGTTCAGAACTGAACTAAACTAACAAACCAATTCATTTTTACAACTGAATAGCTTTTTTTTTTACAATACAGTAAAGCGAACCGAATTGAATCATGCATAATGCTACTTTGGGCTCGTGACAACTGTTTTGGTTGGTTCGAAGAAATCAAACTAATAAATAAGCCTTTGTTGACCAAAAAGAATTATGACTATACTGTCCCAAACATTGGAAATATAAATCATGGCCAAAGAAACAACTTAAAATGGGAGCGGGTATTTTCATTTAAAAAAAGGTCATGTAATCATGTTATTTGATCACAACCACTCATTTAAAAATTATACACGTTTCTCTCTCTTATCTCATCATCAATGAGTGATTGTGATCAAATAATATAACCACATGACCACTCTTCTACATGAGAGGATCCATTCTCACTTCAAATAAACCGTAACCTACACATTCATCTTCCCAAAAGTGATGACAACTGATATGAATGTTTTTCTCTGTTTTGTCTTGATAACAAAAATGTCTAGCTAAGGGTTAGTAAATCGATATTAGATCGGGTACTCTCTAGATATATAAAAATTAGATAACTTGGTATACCAGATCATTGTACACAATAAATAACAGTATTAGTCAATAAGGTGATGTGTATGCACAATAACAACATAATAGTAAGATAGAGATTAGGTCATAATCGCAGGCTTTGTCTCCTATTTATAGGGTTTAATTCTAGGCCTTTAATGATCTATGGGCCTTGATGTGCTCTTGTATTGCTGTCATGTAGTTGCCTTCTATTGGGCATTTAGATATATGAGCTTTATATAGGTCCATAAAAGTTACTCCCAGCCTGGTAGTCTCAATGTTCACGATGTCGGGGTGTAATAGCTTTATTTCTTTTTTCCACATATTTATTCTTTAGGTTAGGACCCTTCTTGGCTGATTTACTTGGGTCATCTATTGTAATTATTGTCCTTGGTAGTGCTTAGGATTAGCCGGGTTTCATGAACCGGGTTTTAAATATGTGGTTTTAGTATTTCCCCTTCAACCTTTTTAACCGAGGCACTGGTCAAGTTGCGCCCCAACCCAATAGCTGAGGTATTCGAGTTATTGGGATGCATCATATTTATCTTTAATCTTTGGGCTCATACAACCAAGATACCGTTGTTCCCCTGATCTGATAACTCTGATACCCAAGGTGTTGAGGTGTGCCTTTATCTTCAGTTTTATGCTTGGCTGAGATGAACACGTTATCTTGAATGCATCGTGGGTGCATGTTGAGACAAGTTTTTCACACCTCGGCTCACTAAATTGCACTTGCTTTTGGCGTCTTTATCTTTTCCAGGCAATGTTCACATTGGTGTAACATACGTTGCAAGCCATCTATCGTTTACATATCTTGTATGCATTTAATGCAAACTTTCAGAACGTCTTTCAACTGTCCTATCTTGTTTATGATTTTACAATTTTACCCCTGACTTTTCATTTCGCGGGTTCCACCGTTTGATTTCTTTTTCTTCTTTGCCTTCCCTCGCATTCTCATTTCTACCTTTTCTGATATCGTTCATTTCCTGAGACTCTCTTGTCGTTCCAGTTGTCTTTTCCTCTTTTCATTTTCTTTGAGCATTTCATATTTCATCTTCTTCATTCAGGTATTTCTTATATTTCTAAATATTGGCTTGATTTCAGTCTTTGTTGACGTTTTCGTTTGTAATCATTCACATGCTTTGGTGTATTCGTGAACTTGAATCTCTGGCTTTAAATATGCTTTGATTCTGAATGTCGATTTCTGGCTTTGAATATGCTCGTGTTTGCATTTTATTTTATGGGTATGAATGTTGATCTATGGCTTTGGGTATGTTCTTATGTTTGCATTTTATTTTCTGGGTATGAATGGGTTTCGAACCTTCGTTGTAAAAAGCTGATTGTATCTCGTTCTTGCTCCACCTTTCAAACCCCTTTTTAGTATTAGTGAGGGGAGTTCCAAAGGTAGGGACAAAGCAACTTGCCCTTGTGGTTTTGGTCGAAGTGATGAGATTGACGAGGAGGAGAAGTTCATCTAGAGTCTCTCTCCAGGTCCAAGGTTCTGGCTTTGAGGTATTCCTTGAACAGAAGAAGAGAAGCAGGCTGCAATGCTTCAAGGGTACCGAGGTGGAAGGGGTTGAAATTTTTTGGGATCTCAGACCCCTTCAAATTGAGGTCGTAGCCAAGATAGAGGCCATAGTTCTTAGATTGTTGTTCGGGATATTAGAACAATGTTTACTAGTGTTTCTTCAATGACAGTTGAACTGTCTTCGTCAACTCGACTTTCTAACACACTCCCAATATCTAGTCACCCTGGAACTTTTCATGTTGTTGAGAATCAATCAGCATGAATTAGTATACCTTTGCCAATTGCAAACATAAGTTTGGCAAATCCTAAATCAGAGCCTTGCTTTTCTTGTGAGTATGAGTTCTAAATTTATTGAACAAGACAATGATTTTATGGCCGATCTCGTCTCAGGTAGTTTCCCCCATCAAGAGGGTAATCAAGAACCGGGTCCAGTTTCTAATAGTAAAAATTCTCTTATCGATGTCTCGGATGATACGTCTAGCTCATCCAGTAATAATTTCTTTAATTCAGGTATGTTTATCCCTTGTTTTGTTCTCCAAATTTTTCTGTTCTAAGTTTTTATGGAGTCATATTCTGCAGAATTAGAAGTTGAAGTCACCCTTGTTGATCCTGGGCATCAACCACCTAGTGCAGAGTTAATGGCGCAATATCCATGGATTACTAAAGAAGTCCTAAGCATAAGACCCGTCTAGGTGTTAAAGATGTAGTTGGGCTCTTTGTTGGGTTTGGGCCCAGACTCCCATTAAAAGATTGTATTAGTCTGGAATTGAATGCTGAAACGCCACACGAATAATCAAATTAAATGAATAGATTTTTTATTTTTCTCGGAAAAGTTTGAAATGCTCTTCTTTTATGCATATGTTAAAGATTGAAAATGAACAAATGACTTTATGTGGAACACATAAGATGCGTTTCTGCGAATTAACCGAACAGCACTTACTTTATATTTCTCCGTTAATAATTTGGAGTTACATAAATTAACATGAAATAAAATAATGCTTTCATGATCATCTCAGGTTTTTGGCATGGAATATGCCATTTTTATTGCGTATACCTACATAATTCTAGCTACTTCAATTTTTCCATAAAAATTATGATCCTTTTAACTATACTATACAATGACCACTAAACATGATGCTTTCTATGTTCACACAAGAGCAACTTCTTGAGCTTGCTTCTTCTGAATTTCTTTGATGTGGCCAACATAAAGATCAGTCCCATAAGAATCAGAGTCTGGGATCCTTTGTCTCCTACCACCTTCAGACATGCTTTTTACAAATTCCACTAAGTGCCTCCAATTATCACCCTCAAACAACCTCTTATTCATTCTTAGATAAGTAAATGCAGTCAATCCACAACCAGATTGTGACCTACTTGTTGTTAAAACTTGAGCATATGCATCTGAATCATATCTCTCCAATGCATTTTCCCCTGCAAGTTCTGCTCCTGCTGTATTGGTTGCAATCTTTACTTGATGAACCAATCCTTCTGGTGAGCAATTAGCATGTTCAGGTTGTTCTCTGTCTTTCATTTCCATGCAAGTGAAATTGAAGACAACTCCATGTTTTGCCATCATTTGGGCTATTGGTAAATATCCATCACGAAACCGTGTGTTATAGTAGCCAGCAGTTAGTTCAGCTGCATGTGATCTTGCCTTGTAATGCCAATGGATTCCAGCTACTTTAGCAGATAGTTTAACCCCAGATGTTTGGAATATGCCTTTGGCAGATACAAGGATCCTCTCACCATGTTCAAGAAGTTTAGTGGAGTACCAATCCAGGAAGAATTGTCCATATTCAGAATTCCATGTTCCTTCCCTTTTGAAAAATCCAGTATCCTCAGGAAATTGATTGTACTGGCCTGAGTCATGGGGTCCACTTCTTCCCCAGTCTCTCTTCCCAATGGCCTCAGCTGAAGCTTCCAAGGAAGCTCTCATGTACTGTGAGACAAAGAAGTCATTTAAGTAAACACACAGGAAACAAAAAAAGGGAGAGAAATCATTTTAATAACTAGATATCTTGAGATTCTGTCACATGTAGCTAGAGATCAAGGATACAATTGTTATGAAACATATGTAACATAAGCATGCTTTTGCAACATTTTTGAAAAATTAGTTTAAAATTAATGCTTTATTTTTTTCGTACCTTGTCATAGCACTGGAATTCTCCAATTCCAGGAAACCTCCAAGTTCCATTGCTTTCTGGATAAGATGGATATCTCAGCTCTCCACAAGGACCCATCCCCACTTGAATTTCCTGCAAATGAATTTGGTCTTAGAACTTCAAATCTGGCAATAAATGCATCAAGTCCTAGTTTATTTTTAATCATAAGTGCTCTCCTTCCATTCCTTTTATAACTAATCTTGATATATATATATATATATGGATAGGGTTATGTTTATCTCATTTTACATGAGATAAACATCTCTCCTACACACACAAAAATGGATTGGGTCCCACCATTTTTTTTTCTCTCTCCTCTTACCTGTGGGTCCCACTTATACTTTTGTTTCTACCACATAAGATAATTCTTTTCCTACAACATAAGAAAAATATATCCCATATGAATATGGTTGAAACTTCAAAAGGTGAAAGGACTACTTTTAGTACCATGATTTGATAATTAGTAATCATATTTGATACCCCTCATAATATTTTATAAACATGTGTGGTTGCTAATGTACTTAATTAATACTCCAATACTCTGACGACTAACCCCAAAATTGTAGCACAAGTTGGTGTAGTAGTACTTACTATGACAACACTGCCCAAATAATCTCTGAATCTGTCACGGAAGCTCCTCATGTAATCAGAGTACACCTGAAGAGGCGTTCTTCCTCTTAGAACAGGCATTGAATCACAACCCAATGAGATGTATTCAGGATTCCTCCTCCCTGATCTGTCTGTGTAAACCAGGTCAGGGTTCTTGCTGATTTCTTCCAGCACCCATCGGGGTAGAGGAATGCTAAAAAATCCAACAAAAAGAAAATTAGTCACAGGAAAAAAATTTATTTGGTCTTTCAGGACTATGAGTATAAAATAAGCAATCAGCTATATCATCATATTTAAGAGTATAAAATAAGTCTTTCAGTTCCATTTAAGTCAAAACGATTTATCTGTCACAGATACATATTCACTAGGATCTGTTGGTCAATCCATTTTAAAAAAAATAAAAATAAATCATAATCCAATATGTCTGTGTGGTAGACAAAATGTATTTATGTCGCAAAGGCAGAAATATTTTTTCTTGAGAAATTCAAGGGTAGCACCACACTATAAGAGAAAAAAGGATATACCAAAAATTATGCTAGCATATTCCTCATTTAAGAGAGCAGGATTATGGAATTTCTTTGTCAACATTAAAATTAAACAAGGGACAAAAAAACCACAAAACATATTTAATAAGTAACTTAAAATGTTTGTACCAAAACAAAAATGTAACTGAAAATGAGTACTTTCTCATACCTGCAGGAGTCTCCAACATTTCCTCCACATTGATGGAAAGACATAACGACCTGAAGCTTCAAGCCATGCTTTTGTACCATCTGCACAAGCTCAGCATAGGCTTCCCAGTTATACTTCAAAGGCCCCTCTTTTTCCACCAAACCCCACCAAACATCTACCATTACTCCTTCAACTCCTGCACTCTTCAGGGCCATCAAACTAGCATTCATTGCTCTTGGCTTATTCAAATTCCCTCCCATTGTTACCGTGTCTAATGGCAGCATCACAAACACGGGTACCCTCATCGAATCATTGTGGTTATGAGCAACAGATGGCACATGAACCTTCTCCCATTTCTCGTTTCTCGATACTTCTGAGTCGTTGAAGTTGTTGTCCCGTGTGAGATGTGCTTCTTGCATACAACTCTTTACTCGGAGACGTAAAGATGGCTTAATTTTTGGAAAGAAAACTTTGGCAGAAACGTCGTCAAAAGCTTTTAGGACTTTGGTTTCTTTCAAATTAACGAAAGAAATTGAAGAACGAAGAGTTAGAGCCATTTTTTTAATTTTTTATTCTTTTTCTGTATCTGTTTTTGCAGTTGAAGATTGAGGGAGAATTGAATATATAGGAATTGCTAGATTGGTTAAGATGACTCGTGTTTATTTATATATTAAAAAGCAACTCGAGTTTGAGAATTGAAGTTAACAACATTGGTGGGTCCAAGTTGAAAAGTGGAAAAGTGCAAAAAATCAAAACTAGTTGGCTGTGTTTGACACTTGCTTACGTGTTTCCACCTATTCCATTCTTATCTAACCGAAAACAGGCCGACTTCAGTTTTAAACGGTAATCCTCCTACAGCAATTTTATTATCTTGATCATATGAGTTAAAGCAGAGCAAAGAAAAATTATGTGGCTAAGCTTAAAAAAAAAATGAAAATTCTTTTTTGATATACGAAAATTACATAATTTTAATCTCCTTACTTTTCCCTCTACCCTCCTTTTTTTCAGATAATTATCTGGATGTGTTTGTGGACAAAACTGAAGGTTAATCAACATGGTGGATTAGAGATTATTCATCCCTTGAAAGCGAAGAGTTCCTACTTTTATATTCTATGCTAAATTAAAGGAGGTGATAACCAATAACTGCACAGTTTGGCTAAATCCCTTAAACATGCTGACTTGGTTCGATTTCTGATGTGTGTATGAAAAATGCTGTTGGTAGAGACAAAACCTAACTCGGTGATCTTTACACGAGTTAGTCTTTGGCTGTCGGCGGGAGAATACTCAAAAAAGAAGATGATAAGAACCTCAATTTGTTTTTCTCATCTATCTAAAGCTGAATAAGTGTCGCTTAAGCTAGTTTGTGCCTACTGTTGCTACTCACGGCAAGTGCACCGATCGTACAAGTAATATATGATTAAGTAAGAGATCGTTCCCACGAGGATTACGGTTCAAGCACTAATTCACTATCGCAAACTTAGTTGGACAATCGAAAGTGTATTTGGAAACAGGATTTGAATTGCAAAATTAAAATATTAAATATTAAGCTAATTACTTGCAAGAATTAAAGACAAGAAATTAAAGATGTGATTTAACTAATAAAATAAAAACGTAGCTAGGGGTTCGATTTCATTTAATCTCCTTATTACGTTTGAATTCCTTCTTAATGTTAATTGTCCTTAGTATCAATCTAATCAATTCTTTCGCATGTTATTAGAGCTCAATCCCTTGTTACTCTAAAACCTTTACAATATTGGAAGAACCCTAGTTCCCCGGTTATTCCCCAAGCATGCAAGCATTAAATTCAAGAATCTTAAAGATTACGCAAACCCTATGTCTATCCCTAGAATCATAACGTTTACGATGAAGTTATCAGATATGGATCACACACCAACATTCCTATTGTCATGCATTCACCGATGATCATTATATAAGATTCAAGCCTATATAAAGCATTAAAAACATATAACTTCATTCATGATATAAAGGAAAATTAACACAGCGAATTGTTCAAAACATAATAAATCGACTAAAATCCATCTAACCCTAACTACTTAAAGAACTAGCCGGACATGGCAAAATCAAGAACAAAAGAAAATAGAAAAGCTCCCCCAAACTCCATAAGTGATTGGTGGATCTTCAATATCTCCAGTGAACACTTGACGTTGATCCGTCTCCGCCGCTCACGAACATGAATCTGATGTTTCTCCGCGTTCCTTCAGCCTCCAAGCACCCAAGAGTTGTTTAGCAATGTAAAAGTTATTCTTCTGGTTCCCAATGGTGTTTTTTTATAGGTCAAGAGTTCGTATCTTGATGAAACACCTTGAATGGGCCTAAGTTGGGTTTCTGGGGCGCTTAAGCTTGCTTCATCGCGCTTAAGCCCCCTAGAACGGTGATTGCAGAATTCGCGTTGCGCGCTTAAGCGCGCTGTAGGGCGCTTAAGTGCGATCTTCCAGTCAGAATTTTCTTCTTCCAGCGCGCTTAAGCCCTGAGTTAGGGGCTTAAGCGCCCATAGGCCGAGACTTTTTGCGTATTTTGGAGGCTTAAGCTTCCTTATTGGGGCTTAAGCTTCCATTGGCAGAGGCTATTTGCTTGTTTAGGAGGCTTAAGCTTCATGATGGAGGCTTAAGCTTCCTCTCTAACAACTTGATAAGATCTTAAATCTATCTTGTTTTTGATCTTCCTCTATCATCTCTTGATCTCATATCTTCTAGTTGTGATCTCTATCTATCAAATCTTCATCTTTTGACTCCTTTTGTCAACAAATCCCTAAAAAATAGCAAGGATGATTCAATTAAACAAAAATTCAGATAATGTTCATGATTATCCTATTAAAACCCTAGTTTTTGATTTGTTTAATTAGATAATTCATATTATTTTAGTCCATAAAACAAGATAAACTAAAGGTTTATCACCTACCCTGTACATTCACATCAGCATTCCGTAATATTGAGCTTTGCGAAACCTTTTGCATTGATTTAGAAAGGTACAAAAATATGCCTTAATGAATGCTTGTTTCCCAGAGTTTGGTTAAGCTGAAATGAATAATACAGAAGCAGCTGAAATTTGGCAAAGTTTGCTTGTTTAATCTAAATTACTGAAATTTCTTACAAGGAATTTATAGACAGCTGAAAGGTTTTCTATGGCACTGTAAAAATTGAAATGAACATATGTTGTCCCAAAAAAAGATGAATGAACATCTAAATTTTCTACTTGAATTCTTGTTTTTCTAATATTGGAATCTTACTACAATGATAATTGGTGAGAGGTTTTGTATTGTAATGGACATTTTGTCCCCAAAAAAAGATGAAGGAACATCTAAATTTTTTACTTGAATTATTGTTTTTCTAATATTGGAAACTTATTGCAATGATAAATGATGAGTGGTTTTGTGTTGCTGCCTTAAGACAAACCCTTCCAAGGGTGCAAGCCAGCCATTGGTTTTATGGTAATTTCTGCCTTCTCCAGCAAACTGGGTTTTCGTGGATGAAAATATATAAAGAATTTCAAAAATTCTCTTGGTTCTTGTTTAATTTGCACAAGATAAGAAAAGGCTTGAGGTCCACTTTGGGTGAGTGGCTCGGAGGAAGTTTTTGCTTTCATTAGTCTTGGACCGTTCTTTTCTGCGCGTTTTTTTTACAACTCAAGTCTAAAAAAACTGTTCAACTTTTCATATTTTTCCACATTCTAATTTAACAATATCATCTGCTTGATGGGCAAATACTATCTTAATCTAGTTGACTCAATTCAAATACCTTGTGGTCGGTGAAGATACTCTCTTCAAGATACAATGGAGAGTTTTCTGTGTCATGTTATGTGCCAACAATTTTTTTTTATTTTTTTAAGGATGCTCTGTTAAAGAGTGTCATTATTAGTCATTAGATTTAGGAGGATTTATTAAATGGAAGATATTAAATAAAAGGGAAATAAATATTTTGAAATTATAAAAATAATTTACTGTATTCTTTTTTGAATAATCGGAAAATTTTATTCATCAATCATGTTTTATTAATAGAAGTTACGAACTACTTCTTAATTAATTAACATTTTGTCCCTAGAACACTTATTAAAAAATGGGAAATATTATACCAATCATAAAATTAATTATTAAGGTATTTATTAGTTAATAATATGATTAATCTGGTATGCTTAATTGTTAGAGTTTAAGTGTTATGAATAAAAAGTTAAATGTGAAGAGTTGTGTCTTTTCATCCTCCAATAGACACAACTCTTCATCAATGAATAAACATAATTCATCATAATCAGTCACAAAGGATAAATTTGCGTATGCTATTTATTCGAGAGTGTTGTCAACAAATAAAAGTAACTCTTTCTATCATAAGAAATAGTTGTCATTCACTCTTGAACATCATAAAGAGGGCAAATTGTTTAAAGGATATATGTCTTGAATTTTTCCTTCTTTAATTCTTAAGTTTTCATATAGTACACTTTAACTTCATGTTTCGATTTCTTAATTTCATTTTATAAATTTGCTTATCTCGTAATTATTTAACATTGTTTTTTCTAACATTAACTTAGGTCACAGCACATGCAGTGTGGGATTACCAACCACCTGAACAAAAGATATGACTAAATATGCTTCCCGTTTCAATTCGAATATATTGTAAGGGGACATACAGATTATGAAGAACTTACGTAACTAATGTACGTTGTCGGCAATAATGCATCAGCGTCAGAATCAACGAGGAAGTACTCAAGCATGATAGAGAAATTGTTGGTCTAGTTCAGAGATAGATTTCATTTCCTTAAGCTAACTTTAATTTCAATGTTTTGTACCCGACCCCAGAAAAGGGATATTGAGATGAGCTGTGTCCATGTATTCATAGGCCTACTACCACTACAATTTTGTGGAGGAAACGGAACCTTATCTTTTCGTTTCTAACACACTCACTCTCACACACACAAAATGTCTCACAAGAAACAAGAAATCAATTCAGCGGAAACTGTGGGAAAGACGTGCATGTAACGGACACATGAGCCAGTCGACCTTAACTCTTATGTATTAAATTAATAATTTAAAATTTGAAGAACAGTAGAACATGACAAATGTTGTCCACCTAATTAACAATTGTTGGATTCGGTACATGAATAAGTGAATGAAAACATCCATTTTAAACGGGGTCCTTATGTTATGTTTGATTTATGAAAATTGCACAGCAGTTTTTTACACATTAATTTGGTTCCAATCTTTTCATTATAGAGATTGATTCATTTCTAACGCAAGGGATTCTATATTTTTCATATAGACACAAATAGTTTTTCCAAAGATTCTGTCTTCTGTCTGCTAGCAAGCAATGGGATTTTGAAATTTGAATATTAGCTTTTTGAGCAGGGTAATGCTATACAGTATAAGACAAGCTTCATCAGTAAAAGTGAGTAGGAGAACTTGTACCCAAAAAAAAAGTGAGTAGGAGAAAGAAATGGATAATCTTATGTTTTATTTTTAATGAAGAATGAAATAATCACAATCAAACAAAAACAAATTAACGGTGATAATTTTATAATTATTTATTTTAATATTTTTTTTCTCTTTTCTCTTATCAACATTGATTCATATTTATATAGTTATGATCCCCTCACATGATTATGTCATGTTAAATAAAATATGAGAGGATCCATTCCGTAAGATAAAGACAGCTTTCTAAAGTCTTCAGTGATAAATTCATATATTTCAAATCACAAACAGCAATGCTATCTTGGCACAAAAACTTTTATGCAAAAATTATTATGAATGTCTAATAATAAAGGAAAAAGTGTGTATTCTTTTAGAGGATAGTCCTTTTAAAACAGAAAAAGAGATAGAGTATGTGAGAGAGAAAAAAAAACTCACTCTTTCTCCCCCAGTGACGGACCTACATGGGCTCTTATGTGTGCAAGTGCATACACACACAAAAAAATCGTTTGAAATAGCTTGAAGAGTAAAGTATCTTTTGGATTTTCAACAAAAATCACGGAGCCCATTTTAATCACTTAGAAAAAAAAATCGACTTATAATCCCTCTGAAATTCAAAATAAACATAGTTAGTTGAAACTGTGATCTCTCTAAAATTCAAAGAAGACCCATGTTAGTCCTTCAAAAGAACTAATATGGGTCTATTTTGAATTTCAGAGGGACCGCGATTCGATTTTTTTTTCTAAGGGATTAAATTGGATCCCGTGATATTTATTGAGGACCCATAAGATACTTTACTCAAGCATGATAGAGAAATTGGGGGAGAGCCATGATTTATCTCTTTCTATTTTAAAATGATAAAACTTTATATTCTTTAAAAGGATACACACTTTTCCAATAATAAATATTAGCTTAATCGTTTTTTTTTTTAAAAAAAAAACGAAGTTGAAAAGTAAATTATGAATAACAAACATTTCTTTTTATTTGTATATTTTTCATTTTGCCAAAAACACATTCTTACCATATAGTATTTTTCAATTCTGGATATGATTTTTGTCCAAATCAAACCAAAAAGGAGGGAATCTGTCACACTTTACAGTGTCTAAAATTTATTTATTTTTGTTATGAATGCAGTTCAAATTTAAACGGACTATGCGGAGTGAGTATGATATAAAATGGGATATAACTTCTTTTTGTTTTGGTTACATGTTGGATCTATCTTTATTAGTCTCTTTCTGATGAGAATCTAATTTCATTGTCACGATGAGTTAAGACAGAAAGAAGAAATCCCTACTTAATGACTACAAGCTAACAGTGCTAAGTTCACCGTATTTCCACCAATTTTGCAAGTTTTCTTTTCCTATTTGCTTGTGGTTCTCTGCTAGGCATTCGTTTACGCCAACTTCAAACCCAAGCCAAATCCCTTCCTTCCCTTCATTTGATACCACGTTGCATTTTACTCAATTCGCTTATTCAATATCTTACTATGCTTGTTGGCTTGTTGCTGCATATAGTTGAGCAAATTGGAGCATTGATGTTGTTATAAAGTTCTAGTTATATAAACTACACTAAGTACGACCGGTCATACTTTAATCATGCAGTGTACGACCAATCGTACTTAGTGTAATTGTAAACGGATCTTATCCCATACAAGTAATTCAACACGACTTCTATTAACTCGAGACACGTAAGAAAATTAACTATTCTACTTCTACATTTCGATAAAACTAAAAAGACTAGGTTATATTTATAAATATTTTATTTACAAATTATATATTCTTGAAAATGTATTTCTAACTGTGTCTATTTTGTCTATTTTTTGAAAATATATAATTGAGTTTGTAAACAATAAATTTATAAATATAACATTTTTCAAAATAAAATATATTAACTCTATTTTCATTTTTGTTTCTCCATGTTTATACCTCCATATTATACTATTTAGGGTGCAAGGTGAAGTTTTTGATTTCTTTTAGAGTTTAACCAACCATGATTGATAAAATATTCAAATTTTTTCTGGTGCATCACATGGGTAATAGACTAGTTTTGATGAAGAAATATGTACTTCAGTAACACACAAAATGAGCTCTGATGTCACATACATGTATCCCACTCCAATTCTGTACAAGCTATCGAACTTGCAAAAGATATTTTATTTAGAATAATATTGACAAAAGGTGAAGATTGAAAAGTGACTTTCTCTTTTTTTTTCTCTAAAGAGAATAACCCACAGATAAGGGTGTTAACGGATCAAGTCAGGCAAGGCTTTGGTCTTAAAAAGTTATGTCTGTATTTAAATGTGTCAATCTGGTCTAGCATGTTACCTGTTATGAATATAATTATTGACTTGAGGTCTGACTTATTTATAAAAAATAAAAGCTCAGCTGTTAAAAAAAAATAAGATAACAAAAACTTATCCAAATAAAACATGTGATCAACAACACTAATAATTCCACAAAAAATTGTTGAATTTAATATATATCCAAACAGCATAATATAGAACAAAATCATTCAAAAAATTAATTTAACTAATAAAATGAAGATGAAATGAATTGAAGAGAGAGAGTGAATTATTATAAGTAGTATAAAAAATAAAAAATAAAAAATAAAAATTAATATATTAGATTACGAGGCTCTTTAAAAGAAAACAGATCCAAGCTGAACGTTATAAAAGAAACACGGGCTGGGCCTTGTCAAATGGAGCCTGATACAAAGGCCCAAAAACTCTGCAATTGTCAACAGAACTGTCCAGACTTGTCAAAATATGGCCCGAAGAAGAAAACATCATCTTAAAATGGGCCAGGCCTGAGAGCTCTACCAACCCAATTCCGTTAAAGCCACGCTAAGAATAATAATTTTAATTTTCTAAAAACAAAAAAAGGAAAAAGGAATAAAAACCCTCCTCCCCTCCTCTTCTTCTTCTTCTTCTGAAAAAGCTAGCGACTTTACTGGCTCTTGTTGGTTCAGCTGAAATTTCAAATTGTGTGGTGGCGGTTATGGAGGCGCTGAACAACGCGAAAGCAGCAACCCTAACTGTATCTGTTGCTGCAAACCCTTCAAAATCCCAACGTGGACTTAACAAGCCTAAGTGCAAACATTGTGGCAATGTTGCTCGCTCTAGGTCATTCCTCTTCTTTTTTTTTCCTTCAATTTCTTCATTTATTTCAAAGTCTGAGGTTTGTGTATGTCTGATTTACGCTCTCACTCTCGTGGATAAATTGTTATTTCCTCTGAGTCCTTATGTTTGAACTGAAAAGATTAAATAGTGACATTGATTTATGCGTATAAACGTGATGGAGGACCAATGAGTTAAAACAACAATGTATAGTTGACAGAGGTGGTGCTCAACTACAACAACAAGCACCGCAACTTTTTTGTGCTTGTAGCTCTAACCATCATAACGAATGATTTTGACATAAATGGTTGATTTTTGGCAATTAAATCTTCTCATATCGAAATCCCTATTTATGCTCTTTGAACCAAAGGCTTTTTAATGTTAAAAAGGGGGGATCCGCCGCTGGTGCAAACTGGTTTTGTTTAGGACCAGGTTTTAGGCTTGTTGCATAATGAATTTGATGCAGATGAAGTTTTAACTTTTGAAAAATGGAACCGCATTTATTTATTACAGAAATCAAGATATTATATGTAACAGGCGGAGGAGCAAATTACTAATCCGCCAAAAAATTCATATAAACCTTGAAGCTGGCATATTAGTTTTAGTTGCTGCATGTACCAATTATGGTTTTAATCTTCATATACAGTTTTTATTTTTACAAATAGTTAATCCAATTATTTTATTTTTAACAATTCTGGGATAATTTTTTTATAAAAAATCTTTTTTCTGAGGTTAAGGTCTGCTGATACATGATATCTGATACATATTGAATTATATTGTTATGAGAGATGTGAGAAGCTAAACATGACCATGGTATATATATATATATATATATATATATATATATATATATATATATATATATATATATATATATATATAGAAAAGGGACGAGGGTGAAGCAAATGAAAAATTGGAATTCAATTACTTTTGGAAATTATGAAGTCATACCATATGTTGATAATTCATCGGATTCTTCTGTGTTGTTTTGATGAGTTTAATCAATATTGCAGGTGTCCATATGAATCATGCAAGAGTTGCTGTTCAACAAATCAAAATCCATGTCATATTCATGGTGTGATAACTTTTCAAACACTATTTTTGGATTGCTTTTTAAAATATCTTTTTTATCTTTTTAACCACACCCCTAGATCTGCTTTTTCCTTTGGATTTTTCGTTTGCTCAGTGCTTTTTGTTCTGATAAACACATTGCCTATCTCATGATTTTAAGGCTAGGATGCTTAGAGATGTAATAAATTCCAATATTGTTTTGATAAACACAGAGTGCGAGCCTGGAGCAGTGGTAAAACTAATCATTTATGACTAAAAGTCACGGGTTCAAATATGGAAAACAGCCTCTTGGCAATTATGCAAGGGTAAGGCTATGTACAAGGATTACCTTCACCTCACCCCTCTAGTCTGGGTTTAATGGGGAGTTTTTATTTTTATTTTTATTTTTTGTATTGTTTTGATAAACACAGTGCCTATCTCATGATTTTAAGGCTGAGATGCTTAGAGATGTAATAAAGTCCAATCACTAGGTAGCAGGCATATGTGTGAGCAGCAGAATCTGTTCATAAGCTACGTTAGAAGAGTGTATATCAGGCTCAGCTTATCATCAAACATCCTGGCTCAAGCATAGGTTTAATTTATCACTTCAATGAGCCCAGCTTGATATTTACCAAATTTTCTCCATTCTAGTGAGAGACTTTTGGACAGTAAAGTATTCTTGAAAAACTTTCTACTCTCTGTAAGGATAGTGCTCAGATATATCTAGATAATCCATTCGATGTTGTCACTGGCTGAAGTAAGACAAGCATTTCGTCTTCAAATTTTTTCTTATTGGTGAAGCATATGCACTAAATAAGGTGACTAAATGTAGAAAATCAGAATTCAAATATTTTTCGTTTTTATTTCCTATTAATTAGGATTGATTGTGATTAGGATTGATTAGTCATCGCTGAGTCATTCTTAGCTATTCTTTCTTGTATAAATACTCCTCATGTAATTTATTCAATATCAATAAACAAAAACCCTTTTTACAATATGGTATCAAGAGCGGGTTCGTTCGTACCCTAAATCAGCCACCTTCAAGGCTGAAATCATCCAAAAATCATCTAAACACAATCCAACCTAAACCCAAATCCCAGAAACCATACCTACAGACCTCCAATCGAGAAGGTGGAGTCACCATTCAACTCAGAAGGCTCCGACGAGTTGAACGCCACCAGACCCGTTGCCGTCAGACTGTCCATGCGCCGCCACACGCGCCGGCGCGTGTAGTCCACACGCCGCCTTCCCGGAATTTTTTTTCCGGCGCGAGCTGCCCAGATCACCTCGTCGGTCTCTTCTCTACCTGTTCCAGTGGTCAGATATAAAATCGGAGCAAATTTTGTTTTTGGGTCCACGGTCAAACCTTCTCTTTCTATTCATGGCTTCCTCGAATCGTTCTTCTGCCTCCTCATCTGCCCCAAATTCTCAGTCCTCTGGAGACAACTTAGGTTTGCAGATCACTAGTCACCGGTTGAACGGTAAGAATTTTCTGCAATGGTTTCAATTGGTTAAGTTGGTCATCCGGGCAAAGGGTAAGATGGGCTATCTCGAGGGAAAAATTAAGAAACCTGCTGAGGATTCTCCTGATTATGAAAATTGGGAGATTAATAATTCCTTGGTCATGGCTTGGCTGACTAATTCCATGGAACCACAGATTGGCCAAACCTATTTCGTTCTTCAATACTGCCAAGGAAATTTGGGATGCTGTTCAACAAAATTACTCAGATCTGGATAATACCTCTCAAGTCTTTGAAGTGAGAAATAAGTTGAGAGATTTTCGTCAAAGGGGTATGACTATTACTGAATATTTTACTGCACTAACAAATTTATGGCAGGAATTGGATCTTTATTATGCATCCGATCTTAAGGGATTGGAAGCTAATACCCAGTTTAAAAAACACTTGGAGAAGGAACGACTTTATGATTTCCTTGCCGGACTCAACCGAGATCTTGATGAGGTTCGTGGTCGAATATTGGGGCAGCGACCGTTACCCTCACTTGCTGATGCCTTTGCTGAAGTTCGTAGAGAAGCCAGTAGACGGAGAGTTATGCTGGGAGAAAAGGAGTCACTTGATAAGTCTGATGATATGTGTGCATTAGCTGCCAACCGTACCATTGACCGTTCCTCTGGAGAATCAAAACGGGATGGTCGTCCATGGTGCACCCACTGCAATAAAATTGGTCGTCCATGGTGCTCGATGGTTCATTACCTTCATTGATGACCATTCCCGAGTTTGTTGGGTATATCTTCTAAAGGACAAGTCCGATGCTGCATCCGTTTTTAAAAAATTTCATGCCATGGTTCAAACCCAATTCCAAGTTGCTATACAAATTCTTCGTACAGATAATGGCAAAGAGTATTTTAACTCTATTCTTGGAGAATATCTTTCCCAACATGGCATCCTTCACCAAAGCTCGTGTCCTGACACACCCCAACAAAACGGAGTTGCGGAAAGAAAAAACCGACATCTCCTTGAAGTTGCTCGGGCTCTTATGTTTACCACGAGTGTTCCTAAATATCTTTGGGGAGAAGCAGTTCTTACTGCCTCGTATCTGATAAATCGAATGCCATCTTGCATTCTAAAATTTCAGTCTCCTCTTTCTAGTCTTTTCCGTACCTTCCCTTCCTTCCGAGGCGTCTCGTCCTTACCTCTCAAGTTATTTGGTTGCGTTGTATTTGTCCATATTCCCTCTCATCAACGGTCTAAGCTTGATCCTAAGTCTCTCCAGTGTGTCTTTATTGGTTATTCTCCTACTCAACGTGGCTATAGGTGTGGGAAATCCTTGTATACAGCCTTACCTTAATTTTTATAAAGAGGTTGTTTTCTAGATTCAAACCCGTGATCTTTTGATCACAAATGAGAGCTTTACCAGTGCTCCAAGATTTCCCTCTTTAACTTAAGTACACAGATATTGTTTAGAAATTTTTATTTTTAGTTCTGTAGTTGATTTAGTGCAAGTGCTACTTACTAGTGGCGTCATAAATACAACCTATTTCTTATTAAGAAGGCAAAATAAGAAAATAGTAACAAAGATGCATCTGTTGGCAAGGTTGAAAAGATCTGTATAATTTTCTGTTACTTGTCTTAAATCTTCCATATTGTAAAGATCGTAACAGCTTTTTACCCCATTTGCTGGCCCTAACTTTTCGTTTCTTATGGTGAATGCAGTCTTGAAAGCAAATTTAACTATGCTCGACAAGACACCATCTTCTATTACTGCTCCACTTGATCAGCAATACATGGAATCATCTCAATCAACGTAAGTTATGAGGATAATCACCCCAAATTTTGATCTTATCCATTTTTTATATTTGCAAACTTGTCAGGATTAAACAAGAAAGAACACTCAAAATGTTTAGTTAAAAAAGAATAATAAAAAGAATATTCTTTTCTGCTGAGTAGCTTTGTTATTTTCTCTGTTGGAAACATGGGTGGTTTCTTTAGTGACTAGAGTTTGTTCATATTTTTTCTCGGTAGTTTCAAAGCTATAATTTATCATAAATTTTATTGAAGCCGTTGTTGGCTCTAGAGTTAACCAACCAAATGCTTTTATACCGCTTCTATATCTACAATTGTTTTTGAAATTTCGATGTATGTATGTCTTTTCTCTGTCAAACATCTTACTCGCTTGCATCATACCTTTGACTTTAAAGAACTAATTTTCTTGAGCTTCCTGTTCTTCTTGTTACATCCTTTATAGTGATTTCATTGCTTCACCTGCAAGTTCTTAAGTTGTAAGCATCTTTTTCAGATTCTGTTTATTAATCTTGAACAGAAGATTTTTTTATTATTATATTTTTCAGAAGCGCAAGTAGAGTTGCATCACTTCGACAACTTTCCAACAACTTTGCACAGTTCAATAATTTGAACATTTCACTTCGTTCAAAGAAGCCACTAACTAGAAAGGTACACAAAGACACGCGTATACAGAAACAATGCTAGTTTAAGTGTATAATTTATTTTGGGGAACATCATGTTGTGTGCAGGATGCTGCAACTATAAATGAATGGAGATTTTCCAAGTTAAATGAATACAAGAAGCAAAACATTGAAGTCGAAAATGAAGGTTTTGACCGATACATGCAGAATGTAGAACTACTGGAAGAAGTATTGTCTGTGAAGTCTACGGAAGACAATACGTCATCTGCATCAGAGTCTAATACTTCTTCAATGGAGAACAAAAATGAGATAGTGATCTCGGAGCTGAAATTGCAGCTAAGATCAAACTCCACGAGAAGTGATAATGTGAGAATGAGAATGCAACAACTTGTAGATATGGGATTAAAGAAGCTTAAAAAGTCGGCAGTAGATAGTAACATCAATGAACCAATTGATGAAGAACCTAATAAAGCTTCGAAAAGGGCCAAAAGTTGGAAAACCGAAAGGTTATCTGCTACAAGTGATCTTCTTGATAAAATTAATAAAGCCCGTAGTGAGGAGGATTTGAAGTCATGCTTAGAGATGAAGTCCCAACTCTTCAATTTGGAAATAGGCTCTGGCATAATAGCACTTCAAGACAATGAAACACATGAGAATGAAATTGCTGAAAGTGATTCCACCTTAGCAAAAGAATTGGATTATTCTTTACCAAAATTGGTTGTTACTGCTGAAATTGATCAAGAAACTCTAAGCACCATAGACAGATACTTATCTTCCCTTGAGCATTTAGGAGAGTTATGAGGCGAGATTTCTTGATAATTAGTCTTTTAGCTTGTGCAGAGATGTATAAATCTGAATGTTGTATTCTTTAAAGCATCGTATTACAGTGACAGGATGCGGCTCCCCCATTTTGTTTAGTAAATTTGTTATTATTATTATTATTATCTCAACTAGTTTGGGATAAATATGTTGTTGATGTTGATCTATTATTATTACTATCTTTATTTTGCATATGTTATCCTGAGCTGGAGAACATACACTCCTTGCAGCTAATGCTCGCTCCAATAGGGTGTTTTAGGCTGAATGACAATTAGATAATGGTAATAGTTGTACAATTCTTACAAACTCCCTGAAGTCACTGAATATTAACTTTCTCTGTAATTTTTTTCATGTCTATCTTGAGTAGATATTAATGTCGTATGTGTTCATGGCATGTGATTTCAGCAAATTTAATAGCAGTCAGAATTTGGGTAAAAATTGTGTATCGGTTTTCAACTAGAGTCCCAGTTTTCAAGTTTTGATTGAAGTAGATTGTACGATGTAAGCACGTTGGCAGAGCCGTGCAATGAGTGTTGTGATTGCTCCGTAGTTTCCATTAGTCAATACTGCCAGAAGCTCTCTGAAATTTGACTTCTCTGAATTTGACTTTCGAAGGGATGGGGCTGGAATATTAAATATGACGAGACGAGAACCATACCGTACTCTGTTCATTTTTGTGTATACGTATTAGTGATAAAGTACTGAATAAAACATAACTGCATGAGTCACTTGACACCTGGTCTTATAGCAAATTCTAGTTCAAATTGCATAATATATTTGGAAATCACTTTAAGGGCCATATTCATTGATGTCAACAGTTATAGATATTGATCCTTTACTTTAAATTTGTTTATTTAACTGTTCTTGAAATTAATAATCCGCTTTATTCATCTTTGAACCAAAGCAAAGACCCATCAATTCAAACAAACGTTGGTTCTTGCCACAAAAGAATCCTAGGCATGGTTGGGAATTCAAAGGCACATACCGTTGTGACTCTAAAATTCCATCTTTCAGTATTTCTATTTTCTCCTTGAAGCTTTTATGTAGCCATGTGAGTTTGTGGGTTTCTTAATTGAGAAGTGGAATTGTTTCTTGCTTTATTCTCCTACCCCTATATATATCTACCCTACTTTGTTAGTGGGCTTGTAACTTTCGAGGACATTTCCTTTCCCCTTAAAACAAGGCCACCAATAGACTCAATACGATTTAAGTTTCAATGTTTATCCTCCTCCCCTCGAAATCAACTTTTGTAGTACTTTGCTAATTTTTCGAATCCATTTATCATGCTTAGTGTTCTCTACCCTTTTGTCATAATAATGATTCTCTCTTAAGACTTTGATATATTATAGACCACATTATCAGCCGACCAGAAAAAAGAAAACAAGCAATAAAAAAGTGCCTATCCAAAGTGGGAAGTGCAGTGCTGATCACATAATCAACGTAATCTGACTTTATTTTACTTTTGAACATTGGTAATATGTGGTGCAAATAACTCTACTCATTTGTCCAATTATATACATTCAAATCTTTGACAATATAGCAAAAATATATAATAAATCTCAATAGCAATTCACTTTCTATCGCTCTCTAGGACTTTGCATCTTTCATGCTCTCCATCTGGAAGCATTCTAAATTAAACCAATTTGTGTTTGGTTCAAGCCACATAATTATGATTATGTTGGTGATAAGGATGAAGGAAAAGCTAAGAATATCACATGCAAATGGTCATTTTCCAATGGGATTAAATTTAAAAACGAAGATATAGAAAGAAAAAATCGTTAATAAATTTGCTAAAAGTTGGATTCAGTAGAGAGCATAATTTTTTTGGGGATGGTTTCGTTTTATATTCGTCTTTTTAATAGGTGACTCGCATGTGTGTATGCAGCCAAGAATCATTGGGTCTTGTTCATGCAAATCACGGTTTCTCTATAATTGTGAAGTGATACTATTAGGGCTGTGATTGATGCCATTCCCACTAGTATTTGGCCGAAACGATTCCAGGGAAGCTTTCACCTATGAAAAAGAAAAAGCAAGAAAATCCCAAAAACTAAATAAATATCACTAGTTACCTTTGCCTGTCATATGCCACGGGCCACATGGTTTCGCACAATGATCTAAAGTCACAAATCTCGTCCCAGGGTAGGTGAGGCATATGATAGTCGTCCAAAGGAGAAATTATTGTTTAGAACACCATAGATATATTTTGTTTTTGGATAAAAAAAAATAAAAAATTAGGTGGGGCTAGACTATCCCACCAGGGGCCAGGGCACACTACTGAAGATTTCTGTGACGGATTACATATCGTCCACCAACAAGATCTTTACATCGAATAGGAGGATTGGAATTTATGCCCTTGTGAGGTATCAATCAAATCCTTAACTAAAAGTGCTCACTCTTGTTGGCTTAGAACACCATAGATATTATATGCCATGCCATTGAGAGAACGTCAACTTGTGTTGTTTGATTCCTCAATATAAAAGGATTCATTAGTTGTATTTATAATCTGGATTAATAAATTAACTAGTGTTTTAACCCATGCAATGCATAGGGGTTATGATGGAATAAATTTTTATTACATATTGATATAAATATTATATGCCAAAGATTGTAAAATACATAAAAATAAATTTTGATTTTGAAGGAAATATGAATGTAATAAATGTTACTAAATTTCAATAGAAGACTAAAGACTCCTGCGTTAAAGTTCAAATTTTTTGATCTCCAAAAAAAAAGTTCAAATTTTTTTATACACTTCTTGGTAAACAACATTGTTAGGTTTTACATGAATTTCCATTTTTGTCTAAAATTAAAAATCTTCAAACCATTCCTAGATTTTACTCTAGAAACAACAACATATAGTTGTCCATGAGTAAAAACAGGCTTCGATAAGAACAGTTCAACATAAGAAAGAGATTGACCCTGACTCTTATTAATGGTAATGGCAAAACATAAACTAATTGGAAATCATCTTATTTTGAATCTCAAAGGAATGCCAGCATATGATGGAATCATATTCATTCGTGGAATGCAAACTTTATGACCAATATAATTTCTTGTAATGACAATTGCACCAATGATGTTATTTCTTAATTCTTCAACTATCAGTCTCGTTCCATTGCATAAGCCAGAAGATTGATCTATATTCCTTATAAGCATAATGTGAACTCCTTTTTTCAGAGAGATCTTATAATTAGGAAAACCAAAATACTTAATTTCATTTAAAAACTTTGTAGTAGACCAATCAGGTTTAATCCCAACATCATCTTCTGCTATGCAATATGAGTCAGAACTCAAATATTCTTTCTCTTCATTGAGGACTTGAAAAAGGATAAATTCATTCAACGTATCAACTGCTTAAGTGTTGGAGTCAATATGGCTCTTTCTTTAAAGAACTCGAAGTCTTTTATGTTCTGTAACAAATTTGGATAAGTGAACTGAACAATATTGGCAAGAGGTTTGGTTGAATCCAAAATTAAAAGATCTTTCGCGATTTCTACTTGAGCAACATCATCAGTATCTATGCCAACTTGTCTATCACCAACTTTAATTATCCAATCTGTGAAATCTTTCATGAATTGATATTCTGCTGACGTTGTTATTTGCAATTTTATGTTTTTAGGCTAATGTAAGTACCTTATAGTGAGACCACAACTTTAACGAAAGTCTCCTCCAAGAACAATACATTTGCCTCCAAATAGTCTCTCTTCAGAATTAGAGTTAATAAACCTCATGATGTCCTTGAGTGAATGATCAAGAGCCTCAAAAGCCAGTTTATTAATCATGCATGCTTCAACCCATATAATTAGACTATTTTGTTGAAGAAGTTATGTCTTTCAACTCCCTTGTTTAATATTTCATGTCGAGAACTTGTCAACTTTTAATGCAATTGAGAATCTAGAATGTGTTGTCCTACCCCATGGCAAAAGTAAGGCAACAATCCCACTTAAAGCCATTATAAAAGTTTTCCAAATAAAAGTTTTTCCAGTCCCACCGTAGCCATATAAAAAAAAGAACTAACTTGTGTTATGTTGTACAACATGAATTATTTTATCACAAAAATTTCGTTGGTCCTCATTCATTATGGATAAGAATGTCTTCAAATCCGAAGCCATTTGTTGGTGATTGTAGTTCAGTTCATCGACTAAGAAGTGATTCTCGAATTCATTAAACGAATAATCATGTGGGAATGGCATGGAATGAAATTCTTTCAAAGATCTTCCATTTGGATTAAGCAATCTTTTTATTTCAATCAAACAGAGATATTTTAAGTCTGAAAGTGAAAAAGGAAGCAATATCATTATCTGTTTGATGAGATCGTTATCTATTGAAAAAAAAAAACTATCTGAAGAAGTTATTAAAATTGCATACCTTGATTTTGTAAAAATCTCCTTCGGTCATACAATATTCCATCTCCCAAGTATTTCGATGTTTGTTCCCAAACACATTCTGGTGCACTCATTGTGTTTGACACAAGTAAAGTAACAAATAGCTTTCTCAATTGTTTTCCAGATTCCAATTTTGTAGCTTCTTTTATACCATCAACAAACTCTTTATCATCTACCAATAATCCCAGAGCATAGTGTGCTTCTTGAAATGAGTGTGCCTGAAGTTATTAACTGTTTGTATATCCTCGAAAGTTGTGCAACCTCATTGAACAGTCAACAAAAGTCTCATGTAATACAGCTCGCCGAATCCTGCAGGAACGTTGATTGAATTCAGGATCATGCATGCATAGGAAACATCTTTAGTATGAATGAGACTTTTGATGCTAAACCTATGCAGAATTTCTCATTCAACAGATATACCTATTGATTGAATTCAGGATCATGCATGCTTCAGAATCTCGTTGTTGAATTCTAAAGGCAATGAACTCTCTTAATGTGACCCTGACCCTCTTATATCTGTGGTTATTTATTATAGACCCTTTCAATGGTATGTTTTTTTGGCAACCATCTTCACCATATGCAAATAACAAAGGATATTGGAGAGGTATAAAAGCACTGTGAGTTTCATGAATTCTATGCAACTCATTATCATTTTTTCTAACAATGACATCTCTTCCAAATTCAGAAGCATCAAAATCTGCAACAATTATGGCAGCTACTTCATCAGTAGTTGGAAGATTGTATGTCCTTGAATCTCTTGAG